TTGGGATTTGGGATTTGGAATTTTGGCAAAAAATACTAATCATAATTTGGGATTTGGGATTTGGGATTTTGGCATTTAAGATTTTGGCATTTGGATTTTGAATTTGGGTGGCAGGTATAGGCAAAATTACAAAAATTTACGGAAAATTTACGCTGAATTTTTCACGACATTCAAAATTTAAACGTGAATATCTCCGCGGATATCAATGCTACAAGAATAATTTACATATCATCTTGTAGTCAAGAACCAGGGCTTTCGATCTGTCATAGCAACACCTTAGTAGAAAATTACTTCCTGTCTCGTAAAGCGTGACCAAAGTCAAAAAAATTAAATTTTTGAATGTAAACTTCCGTGTGTTATGTTTGTGTTACAGAAATTTACGTCCAAAAAAATTCCTGATGCACGTGCTGTAAAAACAGCAACAGCTAAAGAAGCTGCTCAATTCCTTTATGAGAAAATCATTTGTTGACATAGAACCCCATCTATAATCTTGTTTGATAGAGGTGCTCATTTTGTAAATGATACAATCAAACTTTTAAAGGAGGAAATAAGATTTCAACACAAACTGGCATCATCTTACCATCCTCAAATGAATGGATTAACAGAAAGATTCAATAGAACCTTATGCAGATCCATTGCAAAATGTTTATAAACCAGTTAATCTAATTGGAATCAATTAATACTTTCAGTACTCTTTGCTTATCGTATCTTAAAGCACGAATCAACAAAATATACTCCCTTTTATTTGGTACATAGAAAAGAAGCACAACTTCCTATTGATATCGAGTTTAATGATAAGAAAAATCATTCTGTTTTAACTTATGAAGAGGCTTTAGAATGAAGAATCAGTTCTTTAATAGGAACCTTCCTGATGCACTCATAATCTCTTCAAGAAATGTAACAAGTGCACAAGAGTTACAAAAGGAAAGGCAAAAACATTTGGCTAAAGCTCATGAGTATTACGAAAATGATATTGTATTATTATATGATTCTGCTAAAAGACAAGTACATGGACAAAAGTTTAATCCTAAATGGACAGAACTGTTTTGAATAGAAAAGAAGTTAGGTAATAAGGTTTACTTGATAAAGGATAAAATTGATAATACATTACCTAATCCTGTTTATACAGAGAGATTCAAACATTTTAAATAAAGGCATCTTATAGAACCTTGTATAATAATCATTCCAAATTAGTCAAAATTTAATTAAACACCTGAACACAAATTTTATTATATAAAGGGCCTTATTTTTTTCAAGTTCTGAAAATTTTTACAAATCATGGAACTTTAACTTTCAGAAATTCAATGTGCTAGGTTATTAGAACTTTATCAAAGTTTACAATTAGATTACACTTCTGTTAATATACAAATAACCTCTACACGAATTATTGTACAAAGTAGTTCTTAACAAACTTCTTTAATAATTCCTACTCACTATTGACGAACACGATCTCAAAATTTCAATAGATATATTGATGATGCATGTAATGCTGAAGTTGACCTTGACCTCGAATTATATGATAAAGAAGATATTTTATCTCTTGTAAGTGTTGTCATTGATACTGCAAAAACAAATAGATAATGACTTTTTGCATACTTGAAATTCTGGTCATTATTATCAAAAGATCTTGTTGAGTGACAATTAACTATGACAAGAAGTTCAACAAATAACTGGTCAAAATGGTATTCAATTCTTAACTGTTGCAAATAGAGCGCAGAGATTATTATCTGTACTTGGAGAATTTCAAATTCCTCAATTTAGATATATTACCCTTAATTAGTTATATCATTTAACTAGTGTAGACTTTGATTACTTTATTCGAAAATGTAGAGAATAACTTTCTCAAAATATGGAACATTTCGCAGGAGCTTAATACTAAAGAGGAAATATTGTAGAATATTAATTTTATTTATTTTTATTATATTATTATTTATTGTATTTATTATTTGTTTGTAATTTATGTTAATCGAAGATCATGTAACAGGTGACTCACCAGGTTAATTACCAGGTGAATCACCTAGGTAAATTACCTATTGTACGTAACAGGTAGATCACCAGGTTGATTACCTCTTGCTAAAATTGGTAAATTATTAATTTGGTAGATCATTACGCTGTTACCATGGGTTTCCTCCACTTTCATAATTTCTTATTATTTTATTCTTATTTGTATTTATTTTATTAGTATAGTTATTTAATATATTTTAGTATATTTAGTATATTTATTTA